ATTCTTCTCAATTACAAAGAGCCCATTTATTATTATTAATATTCTACTATTATTATTCTCAATTTTTTATTTTATTTTTATTATTATTATTATTATTTTTTTTTTTTTAAATATGGCAAGTATAATGCTAACATTATTGAAAATTGTGTATTATTGCATTTTCTGAAGAAACCCGAAATGGTTTCTTCACAACACTTATGTACCCATAAGATGTTTGTGAATAATAATAATAATAATAATAATCAGTAAAAGATTCAGAATGTCAATTGAAGGCGTGAGAACAAGGTGAAGAGTTGGCATAATATCAGATCACCATCTACCTCGTGGTTGCTAAGATGAAACTGAAGTTAATGAAGCACTGGAAAATTGGGTAAACAGCATTACAAAGGTTCAGTTCAGCCTTCTTTAGGGAAATTGACAAACTCATCAAATTCAAGATAGCTCTCGACAACAGGTTTCATGTCCTACAAGACATGCCGAAAAAAGAAACTACTATGGACGATAATTGGAAAGGGGTCAAAGGGGCTCCAAATGGAAGTATGAAACAATAATATGACTCATCGAAGGAACTAGCAGATAAGTTCTGCAAACCCGGGAGGCCAGTCAAAGAGAAAGTAGGCAAGACAGCTAAATCCATATCTGAGAGGAAGCACGAAGTGCAATGGACCTCTTGAATGCAACTAGACTATTTAGAGCTTGCACGTGACCTACTTCGTCTATCCCATACACACCAGCAAATGCAGGTGAAGTCAGTCTGTGTGGCGTCAACCTCTACAGTAGTAGACCTCAACATACACAAGGGGAAAAGCAGGACCCTGAAGTGCAATACAGCAGGCACTAATCCAATCACACTTTGTGGGGAACGGGTGGAAACATCCTCGTACCTGGGAAGCATCATCGATAAACTAGCAGGATCTGATGCAGATGTAAAGACACGAATCGCCAAAGCAAGAGCAGCATTCTTGCAGTTGAAGAATATGTGGCGCTCAAAATAAGTGTCATACAACTTCTAAGAATCTTCACTGCGAACATCGAAACTGATTGGAGCTGAAACTTGGAGAACAACTAGCACCAATATCAAGAGAGTACAATTACTTATAAACAACTGTAGACTCAAGATACTCAGTATACGTTGGCCGGCTACCATCAACAACAACCTGATATGAGAGAGCTCAAATCGAGTTTCAGTTGAAGAGGAAATTAGGAAAAGGCGCCAGATGTGGGTTAGAGACACACTGCGGAAATCAAGCTCATGTAATTAATTAGCTAAGCGAACAGAAGGGTGAGATCATCTCCAAAGTCTAACTCGTCTGAGTGTCACCAAAGTGTCAATTGTAATTTAGGCTTCTACTTAGCTGTAGAGGTCTTAGCCAGCCAGTCACAATCATATGAAATGGAAAATATGAAAGAATGCATATTTGGTTGACGCTGGTCCTCATCCGGATTGAATTTGTGATCTGAAGCCTATGAATGACTTTGAGGTTCAGCCCCATATATGAGTTCCTTCGGGTTTTGATGATATCAAGAACTCTTTAGAATCGAGTATGATTCCACAAGTTTCGCTTATCAATGTATCTAAGGGTTACTTATGACCAAGGAATTTGGAATGTAGAGATGCATTAAATTCAGTTGGCTGTTCAGCATCTATAAGAAGTTTTACAATTGGGTCGTTACGTAACTGGTTTTAACAAAATATATTTTGTTGATAGCTAAATCCGGCATTCACTGAATCCCGTGTTCGATTTGATAATACTCTGTTTAAAAACTTGCACTGGACTGAAAGTATTACGATCCCTCTATAGTTTTTACAATTACTGTTGTCTCATTTCTCCGACATCTTATTGAAGTATCGCTCTTTCCAACTTACTGGTGCTTGTTCTTTCTATCAAAATATGGTACGACACTGCAGTTACTTCTATTTCTGACTTCTGTGTCTTGGCTGATGTGTTATGTGGTCCAGTTACTTTGTCATTTTTGGTTTGTCTTCCGGCCCTGGTAATTTGTTTGATCATCTGTTAATCATCGTGTGTGGGTAGGTTTCGTATGCTGTCTTGATGTTGAGTGGAGTAAATAGAGCCTGTCTATTAAAAAAACTTCGAACTAAACTATCGCTCGCTCCTTTGCTTCTGATCATCTTCACTGCCGCCGTTGGTGGGTGCGTACCGTGAGCCTCATTCAAGACAATCTTTTCTTTGCTGAGGATTCTTCTATGATCCTGGATCCACGAGATGCGGATTGTATGAGTGCTTTCGTGTTTCTTTAGAAAGCATTAGTGAGACTAGTTGTGTATGAAGGGAATATTCTTCTTCGTGTTCAGAATGTGATGGTGACACTACTGAACCCCGTCTGTTCTGTCTTGTTTGTATCTAGTTAACCTCAACTACCTGAAGAAAGGCCAGGTTGTGTCACATATCTGCTTCTGTGTAAATGGTAATAAGTAAGGGATGGGCAGTTTTCCATGGGTATCTTTTTCGTGACATTCATTATTCAGTCTGTGTGGGCTACTTTGCATTGACACTTTTAAAACAACATTTCTAACTGCTAGTCTTAAAAAATGAATGATAGACAAGTACGCAGGATAAAATAGCTCGTAGTTTCGTGACAATCTGTTTAGGATTTAATGACCCGATATCTGACTCCAATTAGATTATGTACTGATCGCTACTAAAATACAAGTCCAAGCTACCCTCGTATATACTTATCGGTTTGAACTGCGTTAGCGAATAACGGAATTAAATAAGTCGATTACGAGAGTGGGTTTCGAATAAGTATATTTCACACGATCGTTGGTCCAGGCAGACGTTCAAGAAGTGAATTCAAAAAGGTGGAGAGCAGAGAGTGAGGCGAAACGAAATTACGCATAGCGTAGAAGGCGAGCGTGCCAACTCGTCTTTATCAAATGTCACTCAATATTTGTACTCAGACAAAAATAAGTTACAGTCATATGATGACTCGAGAAGCCTGTTATGCACAAAGGCTAGAATAACCCATATGGGCTTGTCATGGTGCCAACCTTCTCGTTGAATGCCAGAACTGAACTCCTTAAATAGAATTGAATGATGGCTTGCAGTCCGGAATGCACTCCTAACATTATATGACGCACGTCATGTGTGTCTGTGTTGTCTGAATGAACTAATGACTCTTTTCTATTTGTTGAATGCTTGATTTCGAATCCCAAATACAGTACATTCGTTAGTTCTTATCTAGTACTTTTTGATCCAATTACGTTATTTCTGAAATTCTTAGTTTATACTATAATTCAAATACTTCTAATCATCACATTGACGTCGCGATGGAGCCTGTGATGGAATTGTTGGATATACATTCAGATTTTGGTGCTACTGAGGATTTCTTGGAAAGGTTCGAAATCTGGGCTATGACCAAGGAAGATGTTGAGGATGTTAATATTGTGGCACATTTCCTCACATTCATCGGAAAAGAAGCATACAGCTTATTAGAAACTCTGGCTTTACTAGAAAGGTCCATTTCGCTTTCTTATACAACTCTCAAGGAACTACTGCTAGACTATGTTAAGCATATAAATTTCGAATGTGGTAAAGGAGGAAGATTTTGTAAAGTGATTCATGAGGATATAAAAAATTCCACTACATTACTACGTCATCCCAACCCAGTGCATACTCAAGGTTATGAAGATAATTCATTGAGGAGTTGCAATGCATATCACGAAGATGAGCACAAGTTTGGTCAGTGTTTGTCCTGTGGCAAGCTCCACTCTTTTAATTCATGTAAACTTCGTAATTCTAAGTGCTTTAAATGTGGTGATGTTGGACATATTCAGTCAGTTTGTATGACTACTGTGCGTCTCCATGCAACTAATACTAAGTCTTTTAATTCTGATTCGATTAAGTTGAGTATTTATAATGATCAGTTATTTTCGTCAACGATTTCAAAATACAGTGTAGAGTCATATAGCAGTTCAGAGATAAGTGAAACTCAAAATCCTTGCGAGACAATAGTTTCTAGTCAATCGACTTATCAGATTTCTCATGTTATTGTACCAGATATGGTTTTTCCTAATGATCCACTTATTTCTGACGAAATTCCTTGCAAATCTGAGGAAAATATGTTGAATGGACCTAGTCATGATCAAAAACCTGATGTAGTTTTGATAGATACTAATTTTTCTAATGATCTTTTACTCTGCAATGACATTCTTAATAAATTTGAGGAAACTATTTCAAAAGAGTCAAATCTTGATTTCATATCAAATATTATTTGTCTTCATATTGCATTTGTTTATTGTGGGAAACCTGTTCAATGCGAAGCACGAGTACTAAATGAACTCGAGTTTGGTTACAATTCGGATGGTCTCATATCAACTGCTGTTTACCCTTATCACAAAAACACTTCTAACGTTTACTCTAACCAATGTGAGAAATAAGTTTTAAAGGAAGCCACATCATCCATAACTTGGGGATATGAAGATCCAACATTATTTCGTGGGGGAGGATAGTCTAAAAGTGTATGGTTCAAATTCTAGGTAGCAGCGGTTTCAGTACACAACCAACATGCTGATTATGCAATCCCAGGAAGCAGGTGAATCTGTTCCGATTTCGGTTGTTCATAAACCCAGGGCAAATTACTTATCAATTGACTATCGACTTTCTAGTCGAATCATCAACGAGTGGAATTCATTGACGCTCCATCCGTCGACTCTTTCAAAAGAAAATTGGATCAACTGAGAGACCACCACTGCCAGGACTAACACAAGCCGTCAAGCCTACTGTCCTTTACAAACTGAATCTATATCCTGAAGATAAGCAGCTGATTCTGACGAACTGAGTTTACGTTCATAAGTACAGGCATATCTGAGAGTTGGGTCATCATTGTTCGTTTTACATGCTGACATAACATACTTAGTATGCGTATACTTCAAAGATAATCATCATCATATTACTTATGTACTTTCAAACAGGTCTCAAAATTATCCCAACATGTGAATCGTCGCGATAAAATAATGTCATTGAATATTCTCCCTATATCATCACGATAGCACCGTTTTCGTTACTTGAAGGATGGACGTTATCAGACATAGTATGGCTAAACTCAATTCAAATCTAACGACGTTTTGATTTAACTGCTACTGCAAAACTTTACAGACTATCAAGGTGACGCATCAATCATCTTGCGACAGTTTGACCTTCAAGTGCTCGCAACTTCCATCAGTGAACGATACCCGTGAAGCGTTAACGTTTGTGTGTGCAAATGTCCTTTGGTGAGAAACATTGGTCCCCCGTGTATTTAGATGCATGGTAGATTAATCGGTGTGTATTTAGGCAAAAAGTTGATAATTCAGTGTGTACTTAGGCAAGAAGTGAGTAGTCTGGCGGCATTTCAAACATAAAACGAAGAAAAGGGGGGGGTTTGCCAGATTTCCCCATTGCAGGCCAAGGAGACTTTTTGCACGTCCCCCATTTATCCCCCCTATTATCATTTGTTTCCTCTTCCGTTTCTTGGGAAGGCTTACACTTTATTGACTACGTAATATATGATACGTAGAGACTCGATCTCTCAACTTCAGAGCGGATTTCTCCAATTTAGGAGAGGCTCCATCAACGATTTTAGAGACATTCTATGGAAGACGCGGTTAGAAACCTAATAACTCCCTCTTGTCTACATATCTCATGGGGTTTCTCCCCATATTTGCATACTTCAAGGTAGAAAAAGGAATTTGAGCTAGTTTAGAGAAGACAAAAGCTTTTGTGATCTTAATGAAAATCACATGATGCACCGTAAGTTGAGATTGGAAAGTAACAGATATATATTGACATTAACCGTGGATTTTCATTGTTCGTAAACACGTTACGTAGACCTAACCATCATGCTATTCACTTTAATATTCCTACATAAAGTGTATCTTATCTATCAATTTTGTAAATGTCAACAGTACCTTTTTTAAAGTTTCTAACATGCTTATATCGTATTTACAAACGGGTTCCTGGTTTCACATCCTCACTCTTCTCCACTTCAAATATTATAATACCCTTCCAAATAAACTCAGTTCTGTCTCCTTAAGTTCAAACATTCTATAGTGTATCATATATTTGTCCATAATAAGTTGTCTACTCGTACCCTGATAACTCTTACTAAAATTTTCATGGAGAAGTGCTATCTCTACTCACGTTTTCGAAAGACTGTAGGTTTCAAGTGTAGGATCTGTGTAGACGTCGCTGTACTAGTCTTTGAGCCCTTTTAGTTTTATTCAAACAATGTTTAGAACAGCAGTTGTCTTTGTGATTTGCTTTTTTTCTTAGAGTATTAATGCTTAAATTCAATGATGGTTACTGATTCGTTCTAGAAACTGCAAAAAGGCACGTATGTACGACAAACGTGTGGGTAGAACTAAAGGTAAAACAGAACTGACCAATAATTGTACTCACAAGGACTAGGTAATATCTCGTTTGCACAGACCTTGGTGAGCAAAATGTGGATCCGCTTAATGGGAATTTCTTGGTATTCCAGTTCTCACAACCGTTTGACACCTACTTGAAGCAATTTGGCAAGTTACTATATAAAATCTCACCAACAAATATATATATATATACCAAGGGTCTCTTCCCCCTACATTCAAGTCAGTTTTATCATACGTATACCATTTTCTTTGTTCAAAAATTTGTCTTCTAATAATTATTAGCACCACTTGGGGAATCCAGACAATATAGTTCGGTTAAACCAAGAGGCTAGAGTACACTACCTGAGTCTGTAAAACTGGATCTACGGGCACGCTAAATAAATTCATGTGGGAATAAAGGTTGCCTGGGCGGAGTTATTCTCTAGTTTTATCTAAGATCCTATCCATTCATTAACGTAATTGGCAAAACTAGGTTGATAATCGAGATAGTTGCCGATACTTACCAGTTATTTGGTAGATAACAATAACATGATTACTCTTGTCATCAAGTTGGAGAAAGACTTGACATACAGTCAAAAAACCTAGTATTGTTCACGCCCAAACCCAAGTAAAAAATGTCATTTCACCTATGGTGTAACGTATGCGCACAGTGCTTTTGTTTATAAATTAGTAGTACCTTGTATTTTAATATTTTCAGTATCACATTGAAATAGTTCATAGTACAAGTAAAATGGAAAACATTTGTATAACTCCATCCTGTGGCAAACCGTCTAATCTAAAGTGCCCTGTGTGTCGTGATTTGGGGATTGAAACATCATTCTTCTGTTCACAAGTATTTGTCAAGAAATAACAATATTTTCATGTGTTAATTTCGAGGAATGTTTCAAACAGTTTTGGAAAACACATAAAACAATACACGTTGTCGGTACCGGTCAGTAAACAATAATTAAAAGCTTACCTCATTACAGAAGATGCGTGCGAAGATGTTCGTTTCAACGGATATAAATTTACAGGTCAATTACGACCTGCTAAAAAAGTAATCTTGTTTACTTCTATACACAATGCTTCCAGACACCTAAACGAGAAGTGAAGGGTTCCATTGAATTCCCAGACTACGCTATCACAGGTATTTGAAGACTATTTGTTTACTTTTATCTTAATCATGTAGGGATACCCGTTTCAGAACGCCAAGCGAAAAGTTCTCATAGTATTGTTGTTTTGGACGACGATGAAATTGAATGCATGCGTGTTACAGGAAAGGTAATTTGATATTTAAAATGGAAACATATCCCAGTAAAATTTTAGTGCTGAGTTGCCTAATACAATGTGTGCGTCTCAACTAACTTTAATATTCTACAAAAAGTTGAGCTCCACTTTTACTAAGAATTTGTCGATCTTAAGACACATTGCGTGAGGCAGTAATACTCTCAGACTGTCTAAACTGAAGCTAATGAAGTCTCTGGCATAGTAGTTGAAGTTCAAACCCCCTAATCAGTGAACCGCATAGAATATTATATCCATCAACACACTATCATCCCACTGTTGTTCTTTATTAATCCCAATGTTTTCTAAAAATTCTTGCTACAAGTGTGCTGGGAGTCAACCAATTACCATGCGTTTTACTTGGTAGTATACAAATGTAAATTTATGCTACCTATTTTCGTTTTTATGAAAACTCATAAATCGGTGTATACTTAGGGTGCGAAACATTGTTCGCTTAACAGATTACACTTCGTAATAATTCATGGTTTGGTTTCTAAATGTCCATATGTATTCAAAAAGTCTCCAAAAATTAAAAATGGTCAGCTAGACGTTTTGTTTGATTTTACAGATCAAACTCAGTCTTTGTTGAAATAAATGGTGTCAGAATGGTTGTAAATGTAAATGTAGACATTACGTAATCCTTTCATTCACCGTAATTTAGGTTCCTAATAAGAAATATCTGTAGTCGTTGAATATAAATTACGGTTACCAGTTGTTGCTTAGTACTCGATGTTCTACTATCCACTGAGGTAATATTTGACTAACACATGTATCGCATTTCAATTTTCCATCTGACGAAACAGTAAACAATTAATATATGTATGTCTATCAAACAATACGTTGAGAACTGTGCATCTTATCTGTTGATGTTCAATTAACAGTTTTTATGTAGTTGTCAGCTGATCATATTTCGTTGCAGTACTTTTGCGTTCTCGATAATAATAAAGTGTAATCTACACTTGCGTTTCAGAAAAAATTATCCACAGCTTGAAATTAGTTCTGAATATTTTTTTTTACTCAGTTTTTACAAATTAATGGTTCCCTTAGTTGACGTCTTATATTTATATTTTCAAGCTTGCCCGTGAAGTCTTAGAAGAAGCAGTAAAAGCTGTTAAAGTTGGTGTAACGACTGATGAAATCGATCGAGTTGTACATGAGGTAAGAAGCTAATTATAGTTTTGTACTCTTGGTGAACCATCACTTGTGAGGTTTTCACCCTTTTCATTTTCGTTTAATTTTGTTACAGACATCCTTTTGAAGATAATACTCTCAGAAATCGTTCTCTAACCAGGAGATTTACTTGTTGACTTAGAATATACAAATAATTTAGTTCTGTTCGATGATGACCATAAAAAATGCAGTCTTGTGATCTCCATGGGCATCAATCCAAGCACATTCCAAATATGTTTCTCTTTCTCCAACTCCGAAATGTTACTTTAGACCCTATTTGTATCAATGTCTATGCACAGTTGTTTTTAACGGTTGCAAAATAATCTTTTAGGGATGTCCACCAATAAATAGATTTGTCTTCAGAATAGTCTTTATTACCTGTGAGTGCTGTATATCTAAGACCCGTAATCAAGATCTTAACAGATTACCATATATTCACTTCAACGTGGCACCAGTGCTTGAAGACTCTAACCTCTAGTCTGAGCCATGTTGGTAGATGCAGACTACTTGGTTGGGGTCCGCGTGACTGTCGTAACCAATGGTTGGAGACTCTTGGTGACATGGCTCAGAATCGATCACAATGGTGTCGGTGTATACACTCCCTGTCTTCTCTTAAACTAAGAGATTGAAATCGCTTCATACCTTTCTTTCTACGAACCAATTTTTTCTTCTTGTACTATATCTCTATATGCAATCTTTCTTTTATATATTACCACCTTTGACCTAACCATTGCTATGAATCCGGTGTTCATCTTGTTGTGCTGAGTCGGTATGGCAACCTGGACCAATGCACATATGTGCCTGGTCTTACGTTGTAGCTGACTGACCGATTCACTTCAACTATCGATTCAAGAAATTTATTTTATATCCACTTATCTGAGAAACCTATAACATCAGCATCTGACTTTGCAAACATTTGTTCCACTGAGCTCGTATAGAGAGGTATCACTAATTGACTGGATCCAAATTAAAAGTTGTAATTTGCTATTAAATTAGGCCTCATCAAAGCGAGAAGAAATTAAGTTTCTGTAGATTTCTTGAGTTATACCGGTCAGGAAATTTTACGAATCTTGAGTAAGGACTAAGAACTCTGGTCTGGGCATACTTATCAGTTGGAACCAAAAGCTGAATCTGGCGGCTGCGTGAGGCTCTTTTATCTCGCTCGAGCTACTGGCAGCAAAATACGTAGTGTCTGTGGAACGATTCGATGTTGGCACGTTAATTAGTGACCTCCAAACACTTCTTGAACTCTTGGTAAAGCATTTCAATGGACAATCTAACCAACCTGTTGCCCTAGTAATGTTGTTCATACTGTTCTGGGCTTGTGACTACTGATTTATCTAATGAGGTCGACTTCTGTAAGAGATTGAAGTCTTTAGAGCTTCACAAGTCACCTGACTCAGAATACCTACTTCAGTTCTTTTTTATGGTGGTGGCAAACTGTTGGCAAATGAACCAATTGGTTTGTCTGGGAGAATTTGGAAAACAAAGGGTGTTCCATCTTGGATTGGGGCGATTGTCATTCTTATCTTTGAAAGTGCCGTACGTAGTATATACGAAAACTACTGAGCCATATATTTACTTTCGATTGCTCCCAAACTAGAGGCTTCCATCATACTCCACAGGTTACACAGAACCCGTGGATGGTTCACTTTGGTTAGATTTATTTCTTTTCTGGTCATGGATGTATTGATCGCATCCTCAATTCCTATCCCTCTATTCGCCAACACTCGTTGTATTCCCTGATATCAGGGCCGCCCTCAGTTAATTGAGTAGTGTCGCGCTTTAAGGCTGTGCGTGGCTCTATACACAACAAACGCTTCAGGTAGAGTAAGGACGTATAACCGCCTCCCTCCATTGTTCCTGTCTAGTAGTATGGTTCAAGAGGGTTACGTAATTCCACGATTCCTGCCCAACCTTTCTGTCGACATTATTCCTAGCTGTAAAGGAAGCGCGTTATAGTGATGGTGGTCTGGATCTGTTATTTGGGAAAAGACTTCGACCTCGAGTTCGTAGACGACATTTTCCAACTGTGCAATGATAATGTGTCCAAATCGCACCTAATTAGTTGACCATAAGTGACCATATATATAAGCTATATCTCATACTTTCAAAACACAAAACACTGTTGCAAGATTGCCCGGAGATCGTGCCTACACCCATTCTCTATTGTCAACCACTAAAAGTAATGAAAAATCCTTGTATCCGGTATGCTGTCAGTACTAATGATGGCGTGGCTAATGAAACCAAACTGTAGTGAAGGTCAAGACGGCTTATGTCAATATATATTGAATTATTCCATCATTGATATTGAGGATCAAATTTTGTCATGTCTTTATCGACATATGTGGATATCCTACGGATTGCTTTTATGTAGCTATATTATTTTAGGTTTTATAGAATAGATAGATTTTGGCTGGTTCCTGAGGGCTATGATTCTCTTTTCGTCCCGTCAGTTGAATGTACTTGAAATTGGGTTGATGTTCATACTGAGACTCGAACCCAATACCTCTCGTTCTGAACGTCCAATGCACTATCCACTGAAATGTTACAGCTGCATCCAGCTGATCAAACACCCAACTTGGATTTGACTGCTAGTCACAACTCATTTGTTCTTTATCATCCTAATGTTACTTTTAAGACTGTATTGGCTAATTATTATGTTCTCGCATTTTAAGGCATGCATTGAACGTGAATGTTATCCTTCTCCACTAAACTACTTCAATTTTCCGAAGTCATGTTGCACGTAAGTCTGCGAAATTATTTTAATCCTAGTTTTTCGTTTGCTTTAATTTTTCAAGAATATTGGATACTTTAAATAGATAAGCATATCGAATAAAATGTTTCAAATATCAAACCAAGTCATAGGATGTAATATTATCTGCTTAAAAATTATATCACGTTTTGGATTAACAGTTTCGATTATATCACCAATTTTAACTAAAAAAACATCCTAAATCCTCAAGAATAACAACCAAAATCTTTAATGAATCAGTGTTATTCAGCATATTATTGTGTTTTATAGTGTAGGTGTTTTGAAATCATTCATTTTTGGATTCTTAGCATTCTACGTAGTGAATACATGGTTTATGATACTTGTATTATTTCCAGCAGATAGAATAGTATTATTATTTTCTAAGTGTCTGTTCAAACGTGTATTCATTCAAAAAGGATTTCAACCAGTTTTATCAAATTCTAGTGATAATGATACTTTTACAATTGATTGATCATTGAGCAGTTACCACTGTCATATATGTCAAGTCCTTAGTGTTGATCGTATTTTATCGATAAAGTTGTAATGTGGCCACTAGTGACTCAACATCACACGCACTATTTTGATAGATAGGGTGGTAGTCGACGAGAAACCGTTAACCTAAGTTTCGTGCTATTTAGCACTTGTGAACAAGATTTACCTGTAATCCTGAAGTGAATGATGCTCTCTGGTGTATTTCGACCTCGTGTCACCCTACAGCAGTTCAATGGCGGCTAGAATTGATCTGTGTCAATGTCTCTGATTTTGTATCTGGGTGACTCGAGATCGGATTCGCCAGGCCTCTGACGAGTGCCAAGTGGTACGATAATTATACTAGCTTGATCACTTAAGTATACCTTTTTGTGTAACTATTCATCGGGTATCTGAGATTTTTACTTCCTTCATATGAAAATCTTCAACATTCACATATACATTCATACATACCTACAACAGCTATTATTCTGTTTTACTTTCACTATCGATATTTCAGATCGGTTAACGAAGTGATCTGTCATGGAATACCAGATATGCGACCTCTACGAAATGGTGATATTCTGAATAGTAAGTTTTTAAAAGTCGCACAATTTATTTGCTCAATAGATTTTTATTGTGGTTTTTATCTGGATATACCTTCTGCAATCCTCTATTCACTGTTAATATCAGTATGTTTACTATATTTGGATTGTTTACCAATAGTGCTATTCTTACTGGGAATATCAGTTCTTTGAAGCTTGTGTAGGCACCTTACAAACGAATACCAATTAACATGAAATTTAGACTCCATGGGCTTCCACCCGATTATCCCAAGCCATTTAACACCTGATATACTGCATTATGATCTTAAAGTTCAGTTAAACTTGTTGCCATATCTTAACTTGAGCGACAGGTTTCAAGCAAGCACTAAGATTTAGATTATATATGTAATATCAGCAACAGTAAAAAAGATTAATTATGAACACAAGGATACGAGATGAAAGAATGGATTTGTGGCAGAAAAGTGCAAGACAAAATTGAAACTCATGGACTACAGTCAGTCAGATCAACTGACTGATTGCCTTAACTAGTTAAGATACGATTAGATAACTGAGACTGCCATGGACTTTAATATCAACCATCACATTTATTCTTAATTAAATCTAAGTATTCATGATCCTTCTTTCTGCTTAAACGTTTGTAACAATAGTTTCAATAAAATTCCCGTGTTCTCCCATTGGAGCAATATAATTTTAATTGTTTCCAAATCATCTTTGGTTTATCTGAATCACACTTGAAATACTTCATGACTCTAGGAACATGTGGATTTATTTATTCCCACAATGGTTTCATGAATTCACATGGAGTTTGACAGCCATAAGTATCAGGAATTTTATTCGGTTGTCAAAATACCGTAAAATTGCTTAAGCTACAATTTGGACACTCATTCTAGCATTTTTGTATATCTCACCAACATATCGTTCATCCGAATTCGTGAGTAACAACCTCTTGTTAGCCGAATGATCAAGTTCCTCATGATATTTCACCCTCAAATTTCTATTGACTTACTATTGTACTTGAGTGAATTTGCCATGACTCAGTCTACTGCACTTCATCTTATCTATTTAGATAGTTTACATTCAAGAGTATACGTAGAGCAATGTTCATTTATCATTTTTCGATGTGTGACAAGATATATTTTGTTGGCTTTTTGTTATAACGGTTGTGTTGTGACTGGAACTTGGATCGATTTTTACCCCGTGCCAATTGTTGTGTCCTTGACTGAAAGGTTAGAGAGCAGTGTATTATCGATCGGACCAAGGACGCGTCAAACACGTAAGAACGACCTAGAGTTCTGATTGGCCCTGCTTCTCTGTCTAGCCAAGCAGTTGTGTCCAGGACACAAGTCTCAGCCTCTGAGATATGAATCATTGTATTTCAAGCATACTCTGTTTATATACCAATCAACCCGACCACAACGTACCAATAAAATAGAAAATAATATTTGTACAATACTTAGCCAGAAGTGGCTGTAAATGAGGGAGGTAGCGATTGACAGATAGGGAATAATTCATGAATGGTAAATCGTACAATAGTAGTTCATAGATCAACATAAGGCTCATAATAAGAGGGGTATGAATATGAACAGTTTAGTTGCATAACAATTATACGATAAAAATATACTCATAATATTGGTCCATAATTGGATCCCAAAGATCACCATTCATTATTCTTATCGGGACACAACAGGTTGGTTTTACTTCGTTTATATATATGCACAAATGGGATGTTAATTTACCTTAGACGAGTATCTACACTGGATTCCCTCCCAGTGTCTATTCTACAGGACTTCAACACAACTCTCAGGTCAAGAACACGTAATTGGCCTTACTGGAACGTAAATATATTTCCACACCAAAACCCGACACAATCCAACAGTAATGAACAATCAATAATAATTATTATAAGGATAGGGGAGTATATAACTCATCTGACACCTGTCAGCCTATCTACATGTCTAACTAAGCAGACACCTAATCATTATCATTCTCTCCCACACGTCACTTTTTTCATCAAAATAATTTATTTTGTCCCTTTTCTCTTGACTGTAATGCTTCCTCTAATCTGTTCCTAACCTTATCAAAAGTCCTAAGATATATTTTAAACATTATACTCAATCTTATGGAAACTAACTACATGGTTAAGTTATACGTAAAACCTGCAAATGAGGCACTAATATTGCTAAGATACATGAAAAACATTATAAACCTCAATTCATTAGGTGCTTACGATATGTACGGTGTTCATATACTATTAAAGAAGAATGCTTACTGAAATGGATATATATATATATATATATATATATATATATATATATATATATATATATATATATATATATATATATATATATATATATATGAAAATTATTTAATACAACATATGAAAAGCTGTAATAGCTAGTATTTGAGTGGAAACTCCGAAATAGCAATGAAGGGGATCGAAAATGGGAACTGTTACAGTAGGATAAAATGTCCAACGAATACACTAGAATTGGAAGTAACTTGCAAGTATTAGTAAGATGCGATTACGATGAACAATTTGGACGTTATCAATTTATGTAAATGCTTAGACATATTTCACAATTAATACGTATAATTTCATAGTTGAACTCGTGAGTCGATTAAACTAGATCACTATGTAAAACTTGGAAGCACTGATAATAAGACGCATAACACGATATTCACTCAAAAGTTATTATAATTGGAACTGATTACTGAATATTAGTCAGTAGTTATTTATGTTTATTCGAAAACAACCATTGGTACAAGTGAGCACTAAATACATATAGACCACACAATAACGATGAGGTTATCAAGAGATAATTAATGTAAAGTGTGTATAATGAAAAGAACAACGAACAGAAACTAGTGTATGAGAGTGAAATAATAATGGGAGAAACAGTTCAGTTAACAAAACTACAACCAGAAAAAATTCTTCCTGTTGACGAAGTTACGTTCACTTTTATGAAGGGTTACAGCAGAATCTCCTCTCGCTTCTATTCTGAGCCATGTCTGTTAATGTCTTTAGCCATTGTGTTGTACCATCTTTCGGATCCCGACCAGGGAGTCGTGAAGGACCAACAGCTTTCATATCACGGCACCAAGTGTGCTGACCACTTCTCCGTCTTTTCCAACCGTTCCCAGTGTCAGTAAATAATCCACGATGTGGAATTCTCTGAGATGACATTCGTAGAACATATGCAAGCCACTGAAGTCGGTGTTTCAAGATGGTGATACCAGTTGTATTGTCGTCACTGTGTCTGAACACACGATGCCGAACCTCCGTACTAACATAATGTTAACATTTTTGGAGACAATAAGGATCGAGAAAGGTCGCCTGATATCCTCAACTCGTAGAGGCCAGATCTCACAGGCAAACAGCAGATCTGTCACTTATGTTAGTAAACTTCTTAAACACACCTCTCTTCAATAGACAATCCCAGAGAACAGTCCTATCCAACGAATCGAAGGCAGCCCTGATTTTAAGAAACACTACGATTGTTGGCATTTGATAGGTATGACGGTGTTCTAACATTTGATGGAGAATGAAGATATGATCAATACATCTTCGAGCAGAACGAAAACTAGCCTGCTCCTCGCGAGTCAATCTTTCTCGGGTTTTGAGCAACCTACGAAGTATGGCCTCCAAATGCCCTGGTACGGCCGAGAGTGGCGAGAGTCCGCTCTCCCTCTCGAAATACTCTCATACGGCCACGCGTATACAGTCTCTGCCAGGGCAGTCCTACTCAATGCCTTCTCGGGGGTATTGTTTACAAAAATGAGAGGACGAAAAGCGAATGTCCGGTGCTTTATCCGGATCCCAAACCAATGGTGCACATGGGTTGCAGTATCCTGCGGGAACAAATGGCGTATGAACCAATCGTTGGTCACCGGCTACCATGGGACTGCATCTCTTTAGGATGCTCCACTGCCTTGTGGGTTAGACCTTTAGGTCAAAGGCTCCGGGTGTGGCCCCCTAAGAAAACAACCTTCGGTCTGGTCACCTGGGCATTATCGCAGCCCATACGCAAATGATGAACTCTCTATATCTATGGAAACTACTTTTCACGCTTCGAATAACAATCAAATGATTATTATTACTATTAATATTATTTACCACATTATTCACCCTCTTTTATACTTATACAACGGCTCGTCTTTGGTGGAAATTCGACTGTATCTAAACGTTCTCGAGTCACTGTCCGGTTGAAAATTGTATGTTACCACTGAATATGAGTACTGAGGCAGTTTTTCTGAAACCACGAGCACCATTCAAAATGGCTGCCTTCAACGTTCGCGCACTTATGCAGGTTGGACAAGAGATAGGGCTGGCTATGTCTTTGGAAAGTCTTAATATTGATGTCTGCTGTCTATTCGAGACCCGTATTCAAGACTCTGGTGAAGTACTACAAATTCGCTCTCCATCTGTCGCTTCGAAAAGCTTGTTTTACGTGCGCTTATCCGGGGATCCTGTGGCATCTTCGTCTAGTCTTTCTGGCGTTAGTTTCGCACTGAGCGCTAGAGCTTAGGCAGCACTAACCGATTGGATCCCCATTAACAGTCGGTTATATGCTGTTAGATTAGAAAGTTCCATCAAAGTGAGAAGAAATCGGTGTGAGAAACGATGTCTTTTCGTCATGTCCGCCTATCCCCCGACAGATTGAAGCCCGGATGCAATCAAGGATGAGTTTTACCACCAGTTATCTGTTCTTCTATAGAAAATGCGTTCGACAGATATTGTAGTACTAGCCGGAGACTTGAATGCTCAGGTCGGGCGTCTAGGCACAGAAGAGAGTCGTTTAGGTGGCCGATGGGACTTGTTGGTCGCAGGTCAGATAACGGTGACCGTCTACTGCAATTGTGCACAGACCACAACCTGTTTCTGGCTAGCACTAACTTTCGGCACAGTCATCGCCGACGTGCCACCTGGCGTCCTCGTAGTGTTTCTTAAAATCAGGGCTGCCTTCGATTCATTGGATAGGACTGTTCTCTGGGATTGTCTATTGAAGAAGGGTGTGCCTGAGAAGTTTATTAACATCCTAAAAGCCCTATATGCAAACACCTCAGGCAGAGTGAGGGCATACAACCACCTTTCTCCACTGCTCCATTCGAGCAGTCAGGTCAGACAGGGTTGCCCAATCTCACCATTCCTCTTCAACTTTGCCATCGATGACATTCTGGAAACAGCTCAGATGGATGTAAGTAATGGTGGTGTGGATCTGTTGCCTGGAGAAAGACTTCTCGACCTTGAGTATGCGGACGATATTGTCTTACTGTGCGATAATGCCCAAGGCATGCAATCCGCACTTAATCAGTTGGCAATCAATGTCCGTAGGTATGGTATGTGCTTTGCACCTTCGAAGTGCAAAGTACTTCTACAAGACTGGCAGGATCCCAATCCTGTACTCACCCTGGATGGTGAGCAGATAGACGTAGTTGAGAAGTTCGTGTATCTGGGTAGCTGCATAAGTGCTGGTGGGGGTGTGAGTGATGAGATCAATGCCCGAATAGTGAAAGCCAGAGCGGCTTATGCCAATCTGGGCCACCTTTGGCGCCTTCGTGATGTCAATCTGGCTGTAAAAGGCCGGATCTACAACGCGTCGGTGAGAGCAGTTTTGCTCTATGCTTGTGAAACCTGGCCTCTCCGAGTTGAGTATGTTAGACGACTCTCTGTGTTCGATCATCGCTGTCTCCGAAGGATTGCTGACATTCAGTGGCAACACCATGTTAGTAATGCAGAGGTTCGGCATCGTGTGTTCGGGCACAGAGATGATAACTCAATTGGTGTCACCATCTTGAAACACCGGCTTTGGTGGCGTGAACATGTTCTACGTCGTGCATTATTTGCCGGTTCTGGGACTGGTTGGAAGAAGCGGAGAGGTGGTCAGTGTATGACATGGTGTCGGGGTATGAAAAAAAACCTGCAAGGGGCTTGCTTCTGTTGGTCCTTCATGACTCCCTGGTTGGGGTCTGAGAGATGGTGCTACACAATGGCTAGGGACGTTATCAAATATGGCTCGGAATAGAAGCCAGTGGCGATCCTGCTGTAACCTTCTTTTACTTTCTTCATAAAAAGTGGTTGTATCTTCCTTAACTGAAGGATTTCTTCTGATTGTACCTTTCCGTTCCCTCACTATTACTATTATTATTACTACACTACCTTACACCAACCTCTTCGTTATTGTTCTCTTTTTTCTCACGCTCCTTACCTTTTTTTTCTATTTCGCTTCGAATTCTCATTGTTTTGTGTGGCGCATATATATTGGCGCTCTCTTGTACCAATATTCATGTGTTCAAATAAAATAATAAATAATACGAAGTATGACGGTAGCCAATAGCTTGGACGCAATCGGAAGTAGACTTATCCCCCGATAGTTGCTACAGGAACGACGTGAACCCTTTTTAAAAATAGGGACAACTATCAACTCATCTCACGATGTCAGGACACTCTGATTTCCAGACATTTTTTAACAACTCGGTCAGTTCCTTAACTAGAAGATCGCCACCACCTTTAAAAATGGCTCTTGGTAACTCATCTGGGTCTGATGATTCGTAACGTTTCTAGAGTTGGAGTCCCTTATGGACTTGCATTCGTTAGGTGGGTCAGTCGTCAAAGGCCACAGGATGTAGGACAGTCTGATCGATGTCGCCGGGGTAGATGACCAGTTGAATCGCTCTTCGAAAAACTGGTCGTCGTCCAAGACGTTGGTGAATCTTATTGATCGGCATTCCATCGGCTTCACAGATTGTGTGCCTCACACCAGACTTCTTGCTGCCAGTGACCCGGGTGAGTTGAAAGAGCTTCCGGCAGTTACCAGATGCCGTGGCTACTTCCAATTCATTGGCACGTTCCGACCACCAGGCTTCTCGGTCCCTACACAAGCTTTGGACAATTTCTTTACTTATTAATCGTGGTTTTTGATCAAGCTCGTGGCCACTCGGAGTAAACCGAAGTGCTTCAATGAGTCGTAAGAAGCCTTTAGAAACCCGGTGTTTATAAACGGGATGTTTCGCGAAGCCGCAAGCGACTTTACTAACCATTTTCATGGTCTCATGCAGTTGCGGCTAATGCCCATCTATACTTTTCGGTGGGTTGAACGTAGCTCGGTTTGATATTTAGTTGCGACAGGAGCTGCAGTCAAATTGCTTACATCGATCCGTTTTGGGCTTTGAATATGTTGACCACTGAAACGTTAGATCAGGTTAGCTCAAATAAGGTTATGGTCAGAGTTCGGGTAAACACTCCAGAAGAAGTGGTAATCTTGTACACAGCCACACCAGCCGTAACTGATCGCAACAAATAATCTGAGTCCAGATTCGCAATGCAGAAGGAGGGTGCCAGGTAGCACATCGGCAGTGACTGTACCAATAATTAGTGCTAACCTGAAACAAGTTGTTTTCTGCACAAAGTCGCAGTACGCGGTCACCGTTATCCGACCTGCTACCAACAAGTCCCCACCGGCCACCTAGATAACTCTCTTCTGTGCTATTTGTTTCCTCAGGATCCTATATCCACCATTAATTTGGAATCACAGTTTCTCAATTCCTCTCGATGGATCCTCCGTACCCACCAACCCATTCAAGACGTCAGACATTCTCGTTATGAGAACGCCTTGTATACACCAAGCCATGGTATACACGAGTAGTGTTATATTAATATACAGGAGTAATGTAAAAAAGTTAGAGAATGCCAACAAACTAAATGCTTTATGCGTGTTTGATTTGATATCTTATGTGTATTTACAACACTGCAGTTGTTACATCTAATTCCTTAGACATAGTTTTATTGTTTCTCTCTGGGTATCACATTCTTGTCTTTCATTAATATCGAACTATTTGCATCATTTGTGTGATGTAAATTCATATCACGTTTGTTTCAAATACTTCCAATTTTTTCTCTTGGACTCCAGACAAAATTGGCTCACAGTTTGTTTATCACCCTAATAATGAGTACTATGATAAAAAGATTAAATTAAATTAAATAATGATACAGAATTACTCAAGATTTTCTATAAGTATAATAGGAATGAAAGCAGAACGAAATCGAAACACCTACCAAGTATATTTTCATTAACAATCAATGGTCGCTTTGTACTGTAAAGAGACCAGGAGAAAATACAGTAATTTGAAGTACATTTCATACCAAACAACGCACAACCACATTATAAACAAAATCAGCATTTGAATATGATTGAGCTATTGTGCTTTTTTGGTGATATATATATATAATTACTGGATAGCCTATCTTAGTAAAATTATGTAATCAAATCTTGACAAAAATTTGTATTCAAGATGTTTATTTTAATCTATAAAAACTTTTCTTTTTAGTTGATATTACCACATACCACAATGGATTTCATGGTGATGTGAATGAGACAGTGTTTGTAGGTCAACCAGATGATCGTTCAGTTAATCTAGTGAAAAATGCTTACAAATGTTTGGTTAGATCTATGGATGCTGGTAGGTTTATTGATTTTTTGCTATAGTCACCTTAATTACACATTGCTTGGTTATATATACAAAAAAACTTCTTTTGATTTCTTTGTTAATATTAAATATGTTCAAGCACCAACTTCAAGTATAAAGAGAGATAAATAAATCATAAATTTGTAATATCCCAATGAGTAGAAAAATTAGATTTCCGACGTTTCGTGACTCAGTGTAAGCCACATCTTCAGAGAATAAATAACCAAATCAAAATTATCCCAGTTTAAATAGTACAATGGAACAACAAGAATATTATTCTTGTTTGGTTTGGACATGTATTACGTATACCCATCCACTGAGTACCTTGAGTGGTATAGAAATAGTTTGGAAGAAACCTAGGGGTGGGTAAACCAGTGGCACTAGTCTACGAAGACATTGACTGTTGAACTGAGCCATTTAGACTGCCTGGTTAAGGTCTACGTGGTTATCATATTCAGTGGTTAGAGGCTTTGGGCGACATGTTTCAGAATCCTTTGGATTGGCGCGGATACTTTGAATTTTTGTCTTCCCTCAGATCCTAAGTTTCTAAATTTTCTATGATCTTTTTGTGATTCAATAATTTATATTTTTTCTAACTTTATTTGGGATATCCAACTTTCCCTATTACCATTGATACTGTTACTAACTATACTAATCCATGATTTGCTGTGACAGTTTCATCTCGTTGTGCTGATGGAATATAGCAACTTGAGCCAATGTACACACGTACCAGGTTCTAACTTTCGTATAACTGACTAACTGATTGAATAGAATATAGTCAGTAGATCGAAATTTTTGTGTTGGAGTGTAGTGTGTCATTCAGTTAGTAACTAGATTTGTACGCAAATTCATCTACTCGAAGCATGTTAACAGGGTGTTTTAAATACTGAGGTATTGATTTTCCAAAGAGTATGGTAAATATCTAGCATACTAATAATACATAATTGGTTTTCTGCTCCTATGTTTTGTTCAAAGTGAATTAGTCATCATCACTGGCTTTGGACATTTATCGGACTATATCACGAGTTAATCGAAGTTGGGAATGTGTACCATTGTACTCTAATCTAGTGGTTTTAATGGTTATGTTTGCTACGTGGCCCATAATTCTTGGATTATGATTATGCATCACTGTGGGTTTCTAACAGTAGGACGAAATAGATCTTCAGAGACAACGCATATGTGAGAAATATCACCTACATATTCAAATAATCTTCACTAATCCTCTTCGTCTAAATAAAATGGAATTTTTCGTTTTTTTTAAAATATATTTTTCTTTGAATGTCTACATGGTAATTTTTCCTTAATTAAATTATTATAACGGTTACTATTTCCATTATAATTTATTCTGGTTGGTATCATTCCATTCTCAACTTTACAATACAGTTTTCTATCTCCATATCACTACATCTGGATAAATATTGTACTGTCAGAATAGAAAACGCTTATGTTTATCCATACCAAAAATATAAGATAACTATTAAATCATTGACTAGTTGAATATCGTTAGACCTTCAAAATTAATGGCTAACAATTTAAAAATGATAATATTTAAAATCTTCATTTGTTATTTTATATCTTGTTGTGATTAGTCGATACTTTAATACTTTTCTTAACTCCATCTTCAAAATTGTCTTTATTAATTTCACCACTATTTCCTAACTCGTTAGTTATTCTTAACATTATTATTTTTAAGGAAGGATGGATAGTGGCTAGCAGTGGAATCCAGAGACTCGTCAGCTTGATGTACCCACACCTCAGAATTGATGTTCACTGTGGGACTGGAATCCAGTACCATTCGTTTCAAAAACACCATCGCGTTATCCACTCAGCTACTGAGTCCTGATAAGCACTTGCTTGTGCAGTGGAGTGGATTTTGAATTCGCTTGGTATTGTTTTGCTTGAATCTTCCCATCGAGGTTTAAGACTGCAATTGATCAGTTTGGTACATCCAGCTGACGAGTCCCAAATAGGACGAAACGCGCGTCCTGGATTCCACTGCTAGCCACTATCCATCTTTGCTTATAAAGCTTGTGAATTAAGGCAATATAGAGGCAATACGCACAGTATGCACATATGCCAATAACAGACTGATCAATTGAAATCCTAAACATCAATTGGAAGATTCAAACAAACAATACCAAGTGAATTATTATTTTTATTTCGTTGTTCTCCCATTTTATCAATCTCTTTTCAATGAAGTAGTACGATTTACTCTTATATATTATCTCATTTTCTATATATTTACCAAAGTGGTCTTATTAATGCTATTGTTTCCTTCATGAAATAATATACTTGTAATCCCCTTGTCTTCATAATGTAGAACACTTGATTAATGTAGAAAGTTTCATCAGTTTTAAATGATTAATGATTCTTGAAATTATATAGATGTATTATAGGTATTAATTTAGTTTACTTCCTCTTTCATCTTTTTATCTTAACATATTAGTTCTTCCAGGTGTTAAATATCGTGAAATGGGAGATATAATTTCAAAAAATGCTTCACTTGGTGGATTTTCTGTTGTCAAGACTTATTCAGGTCATGGAATACATCGATTATTTCATTGCCCTCCAAATATTCTTCACTATTCACGTAAATTCACTTTATCAATAAAAACATTTTCACTGTTTCATATATAAAGTATATTTGTAAATTCATTATAACTATGTAAGAATAGGTGCTTATTTTTGCCGTATTCATAACGATAGATTGATTCATAAATCATCATTGATGTATAAACATTAGGAAATGTATTAGAATTTGGGTTTTGTCATTCCATTAACCATTGACACACACACGCACACACTGATCGCTTAATTTCATTAGGAGATTATTGAATCAGATGAAGAAAAAAATTGCTTTTTACTTTTTTCTTTAAAAAAAAGAGATACAAAACAAACACAACCACAAAACTAATTGATATCATGCAAGAAAAACTATTTCTGTTCAATGAAAATTCTGAAAATATCAAATGGTCATAAATTATTCATCTTTGTGATACATTGATAACATTTTGATGTAGTACATAGTACTACTGATTGAATTCCAATGAAGTAGTAGTAGTGATACGACAATCTTCATTATTATGTTCAATTTTATGTATTGATAATTTGCGGTCAAGGTTGTGAGTATTTTTGTTGTTTTATTTCTTATCGATGTTTAATCATCTCCTTGGCAGACACCTCTTTGATGTCTGTTGAATCGTCATTTCCTGTGTAAGAACATACTTCGTTTTAAAGATATATTTTGATGATAATCTACAGAGACTTCTGCATATCGATATATATATATATATATATATATATATATATATATATATATATATATATATATCGGTTACAAATGATGTGTAAAATTGAAATACAATAACTCATTCAGTAGTCGTCCATACCTTTCAACCTCAAGTGTGTTTTTGCAGCAGTCTCAAAATTACTCAGAAATTTCCGTTTAACTTAAAGTAACTATTGTTTGACGAGTTGAGTATTGTGGTACACATATGATTTATTAGCGCCAATCATCTGTTTGAATGTATAAACTACTGATCATCTGTGTACAATCCTCTTACTACATGCTCTTGCTCTCATTGTTAATTCATGATTTTAACTTAACTGAGTGGGCCAAGTATTAAATTCATATCTATCGTTGAAAATAGTACTTAAATTGTTATACAACACGTCGTTTAAAGTCACTCATTTTGTGGTATAATTAAATAAACTTTTCAATATTTCGGCTTTTTTCTTTAATACGTTTTAAGGTAATAAGGCAGTCGGTGTCATGAAACCGGGACATTGTTTCACTATTGAACCAATGATAAATGAAGGCGATTGGCATGATGAATTATGGCCAGACAATTGGACTGCAGTAACTAGGGATGGTTTAAGATCAGCTCAATTTGAACATACTATGGTTATTTCAAAACCAGAATTAGCCACATCAAATGGAATGGCAATCGAAGTATTAACTAAACGTCGTATCAGTGGTGCTGATCCATTAAATGGATGTAAATTCAATGAAGAAGATGCTTTACATTTTGAACGTTATGGTAGACCTTATTTTGTAGATCAATTGTACAAATTAGGTTTAAATACTGATTGTACAGTGTTTAAAAGTATGTCTAAAAATTAGACAATTTATAAAACTTTCAAAATTTGAAAAAATCCATTCTCTTTCATATTGAGCGAATGCTTTTACGCCTTTTGTGTACGAATGATCTTAGTAGAAGAAAAGAACTGTATTCAAAGATGATACTTCCTCTTTTGTGATATTGATTCTTGTTTCATTTCTATTATTATATTATTAAGTTAATACTCGATAATCTATAATAAGACGTTAATATTATATATTTATACTGTCTAAGGTAGCTGTAACAGTAATATTATGGATTTTAGAATTTGATGGTTACATTTTAGACTACGCGATGATACGGATAACGAAGAGGCTACAGGACATTCATTAAATTCAGTCAGTCATAGACAACTTAAAATATAGAATATATCTGCACCGGTCCAAGTTCCCACACTGCAATAACAAAACAAAGTGAAACTGTCAAGATAAATACCGAAACATTATTACCATCGGTGGTTGTAAAAAGGATTAGGTTTAGAGAATATGACTGAAGAAGAAAGAAATGTTTCGTAGGATGGAAAGTGAGGAGTGGTTGTGAATTTCAGGTTATAAGAGAACACAAAGAGTGCACATATGTGAACTGCATGACACAATGTCTCCAACCATTGATAACCTCAAATGAACAGTCTACACACATTAACGCGGTTCAGACATATGGTTAATGATTTCGTGCTGTGATGTGATATCTTGATTTGCTTCTCCTTATTTGTGATTAAGTACTTGCAGCGCATAAATATATATATTCCCGGAATCACAGGTCTGAAATTACTCAGTTTTTTTCACTTTAGTAAGCGTCATTTCGTAAGATTGAATGTGTGCTATCCAGATATATGCGTATATACTTTGTAGTGAGTATAAATTAATAAAATTCTTTGTGACACCAAGTAACATGCATAACTCAACTTTGTTTTACTTCTCTGTATTAATCAATGAAATAATTTGCTTAACGATTGAACAAAGACTTTTAAAATACTTCTGTATAAAATAGATGACCTAAATTGGAATTATTTAAGCTATGTATGGCATAATTTCAACCAAACTTTTAGTTGTTTTATTTACAATTATTTAGATGCTAAAAAAATCTTTTATGTTTTTTAATTTTTTATTTCAATGTTTGTAGTTTCAAAAGATTTTAGAATCACTTACGTATAACTGTATGATTGTATATCGGTGACCGGTATATATATATATATATATCGGTGTACACTTCAAAATCTTTCCATTGAAAGGCCGTGGGTAATGGTTCTCAGGCAGTTGTCCGTTGGGCTCTGCGGTCACGCTCTCAATTCACTAAGATCACCCCTACTCAGCTTCATATTCAGGTCATTTGTCAGCTGGAAGTGACAGCTGCTCTCGCACCTCTAATAGCACCTGATATCATCTTGTACACGAACAAATTCATCCTTCACGACACCGCATTCTTGCATATCTCTGTCGCCTCCAGTAACCAATGCTAATAATTTGAGTTCATGAAGTGTTATTCCTGGTCCTCTGAAATCACTCTCTAAACCACATTTTGTGGCTTACAATGTTCAAACTTCGTTTCAGGTAGAAGGACAGTTTTTTTAGCTAAGTTTCTAGAGTCTCGTCCCTTCTGTGTATGCTGCCGCTCCTGAACGCATAAAAATGTTCTAAGTACGGTCATTCACTTGACCTCAAGTCGAGACCCTACTGCCACTTCTTGTGACCCCACTGGTGTATTAGTAGAATTTGGTTTAAATGTAGAATAGGCTCTTCTAGACTGGGCTGTAATATATTGTAGCTTGTGGGTTGTTCGACTAAATGGGACAGTAATTATTAGGAAGGGTAAAGGTACACTCCATCGCCTCTCTCGGATGCAGTAAAAGAAAACTGCTACGGGAAGCTATCCAACCTCCTCTGATATACTAAACCCTTGGATGTATTAATAGTAAAATGTAATTGCAATCCCCACGCAGATAGTCTAAAGCAAACCAAAAGTCACAGCTCAACGAATAGATAATGGCATCTGTCTGCTGCAACTATGCTCAGACAGCCGCCTATTCCCGGTGCATTAACTTCGAGCATGAGGAAGAATATCGTTCGTCGTGATAACCCCACAATCGACTCGACGATGGACTCAAATAGACTACATTATTGTCAGTTGGCGTAAGAGAGGTTTGATAGACTGCCGCTCATTTCGGAGCATACTTTACTAGATTTAGACCATAGGTGTCTTCGAAGAATCGCTCGTATATTTTGGCACCATCGGTCTAACAATTTGCAGGTTAGACGCATAATACAAGGTTGGCAGAAAAAACCAACTACTTAGTGAATTTTTATTAGCAAAACCGGAACATGGTGCCAGTCCATGATGACAACGACCGTTGAACTGAGCCATGTTAACAGTTGCAAATTAATTGAATGGGGTTTTTGTGATTATCGTAACCTATGTTGGAGACGGTACGATAACTCGATATCGTATCTTGGATGCCCAGCCTGTTTTACTATTGCGGTATATGCTCCTTACATCGACAGACATAATTAATATGTAATGCCACTCGAAAGTGAAAAATATGGCAGTAGAAGGGTAAGAAGATCGAGTTGAAGAGAATAGAAAGAGAAGTATAGAGGGATTGTGGACTAGAAGAATCATGCAGAATGTGAAGGACAAATGATGGAAATTCGCAAATGAAGTATTCAGCGTAAGGTTTTAATATTTTAGCAAGATATTCTGTAATTTTGGTTGTTCTCCACTTGTATTCTCGTTCAGAAAATTACCACCAATACTGCTTCTACATCTAATACTTTGAGGTTAGTCGTGCCAATTTCATCTTGCTGTGGTAATACGGTGTGGCAAATCGAATGGCTGTATACACGTATCAGTTTTAACATAGTGTTTAACTGACTAACGGTCAAATGTTGCTTAGATTACTCACGTGTTTTTCGAGAAAATCTTTCCGATCAACTAGATAAGTGTCAATGTGCCAATCCAACTAGTTAGATCTTTACATTTCAATTTGAAACAATCAGATGGATGAAAAATTGATAACTGACTTGTTAAAACCACCATGTTCTCATCTTGTGAATGAATATAGCATATGACACCTTTATTAAAATAAATATGATAGGCCAATCGAATTTCACCTGAAAATTTTCTAATCAATGTAGTACATTTGACTGAATATTTTCTACGTATTGGATGGTATTATTTTCTGCATAAAGTGAAGTGTATAAAAAGTAAAATATGTACAAAAGAGAATTTGTTGGTTACCAAAATCACAATTCTATAAATATAAAAGAATGCGCTCTGGTCGTGCAGCTTGGATTGGATTAAATACAGCCTCATATATATGTGAATTGGTATTTTTGGGTTTGGCAATTACAGTACAAATATCCACCGATTGGGCTGTTTACGATGTCACGTACATTGGCCTTATTGATAATTATAATCAATTAAGTCGCTCTCGTGGATTATGGAAGCAATGTATTACTAATCAAATAGGTAAGGTTTCAAGTGAAATATCTTTATTAATATAGTTTACTATCAATTGTAATCTACTGTAAATATATATATATATATAAATATAATTACTCTCTTGATTGTTAGAATAATCGTTTGTTTGTTTCTACGACCATACATCTTATAGACTGAAATCAAATGAAAGACAAATGAGTGAATTTCAATGTAAATAGTAGAAAACTGAGGAATTGATAAAGGATTGGGCACAGTCTAGGATAGAAACTTCAGGTGAGACTAATTTATGGACGACTTTTGAGCGATGCCCAAGTGACCTAGAGAGTGTCTACCTACTAACTAGAACCAAATGAGGGTTATAAGGCAGTTTGAAGAATAAGCATTACGGCTCACAGTTGATGGTTAGGGTTGGGAATTATATTTACGGTTTTTTCATCATGAATTGACATCAATAGCGTCAAGACGCTATTTGGCCAAATGGGTGAGTGAATTTCGCGCCAAAATCCAAGGTCTGTTATTCTAAATCTGACTGATTCGTCCATAAATTATAGTCTTCAGATAACAATATCATTAAAATTCATTTTCCAATGTACAGATGAACGATCCAATATAATTGATGATTTATGCGCGAATCGTGGTGAAGAAGTCTGATAGAAAACGCAATTGAAGTTAAAATATACAATCTGAAAAGGCTATTCATAATAGTGAGAATATTATAACAGTAATTTTAAGAAAACAATGTGTTGACCTATATTAATTATCTAGAGAGCGTTTTATCTAGAAACAATGGATTGCCAAATGTGGATGAGGTCATGATTTACAGGTGATCATTGAGTGATTGTGAAGTGACCTTGTGAAACTTCGACTAATTATTACTCTCAGTGTAGGGTTATGGATATTATAAACGTTACGGTAAACTTCATCAACTAGAGTTGTTTATTTACTATTGATACTGCTTATTTGGTGTTGAACATGAGTAATTGATAAATAACTCATGATTAGAAATTAGTTTCTACTTTTAGACTGTTGCTTCCCAAATCAGTACATTATTCAATGAAAGTTAACATATTGTCCTTAATAACACATCGATTGTTTTAAACAAATGAACACATTGATTTGATGGAAGAGAAATCCATTCACTTCATTTCCTTGCTCATATGTATTTTTAGTAAGTTCACCATACAATGGTCAATGTTATGCTCTGGAAACTAGTACAGAATCTGGCAGCTACAATGGTAATGTTCAACCAATATTATGTAAGTCGGTAAATTGTTTTCTAAAATATATACAGAACGATGGATGGGAAAATACTTTTTGAAATGAACATGAAATTCGTCACTAGTATAGGGGAGTTGTGGATATTGTTAGATTTTATAGTTTTACATGATGGACTAATTATTAGAGATCAGGAAGCATTGGACAACTGATCGTCGACGTATGAGAGAAATGAGGATTGCTCATGAACGACGCCACCGATAGCCGACTTCACAAAGTTCAGATGTCTAAATGAGTGCTTATCCTCGTGGAACTATGTTGACATTCGACTGTTGACAATTTGACCTTCAATCACTTCGCGATATTGGTCTCATACCTGACACGATTGAACCTCACTAATCATGGCCTCTGTCACTCCTGTGAGTTAGTGATGCCAGACTATGAAATATTTCATTTGAGATCTGGTTAAACATGAATTCATAGTTATCTCACTCTATTTTGAAAATCTTCATTCAGTGTAGATAAAGAAGACTACCATATGTTAAATTTCAACGAGTTAGGATAAATTCTCAGAATTACTAGACACTGTATAGGATCGTAGTAATAGAATAGGCTCGAAAGATAGCCATTTGGAAGTTGTATATCATGTGAGTGTACTCTTGACAACCTATTTGTGCAACATTAGAACTCCAAAATGATGTAAATATGAATCATCGGATTCATCATGGTAGCTGAGTGAACTCGAGTATTTAATGAATATAATGGCTTTGTGATTGATATAAGATCGGTTTCGTGAGGATTTTCGATCCATCATGGAGATCGGTTCAGCAAAAGACTTGATCATCTTGATAGGAGACATTAACTTCAGGGTCACTGTGGACGACACCATGTATGGAAACATAGTTCGGCTAAATGGAGTGGAAGAGATGAACGAGAATATGCATTGACTACGAAGTTTTTGTGCTTTCAACAACATATGTGTTGGTGGTACCGGTTTCCCACACAAATGTATACACTGAGCTGCATGCGTTTTACTGGACTACACTATGTGTGATGAGATTAATAACAAACTTATCAATAAATAATTAGTAGGTCCCATGGAAGATATGATAACAAAGAAGGGAGATGATTTTGCTTGAGATTATCACCTGGTGGTATTAAACCCAAGACATATTCTAAACAAGCATTGATAAATCAGACAAGCAACACAACAGAGTTAAATACAGCCTCATTCGAGACACCGGCAGACTCACTGAGTTCATGACAGATCTCAGCAACAAGCTCCGTGCCTTACGAG